CCGTCTCTGTCCTGTTCGAACAGGTGCTCCAAATTGGTGACCTTGGGCAGGTCTCTGGATCCTTTGCAATTTCAAGGGAGCTGATTGGTTGTTAAAGTCTCTGGTCTCAGAAGCAAAATAAATACCCTTTATAGGCATTAATTCAAGATTTGTGAAGCACATCCTTCCATCCACTGATCATCTTCTTTCTAGTAATGGAACTGCTTCTACAGCTTTCCCCAGGTCTCTCTGACCCTTTGAGCACTAATCCCTTTGGCCAGAAGGAAGGCAGGTGGGCATTAATAATAGCTGCTACTCATTGAGCACCTGCTGTGTACCAGGCCATATGCTGGGTCCCTTGCACACACTAATGCATTGCACTTAATCCTCATCATCCTGTAGGTTGCTCCTAGCTCTGGTTATCAAAAGAAAACTGAGGATTCAAGATGTGATGCATACCCTGACTCTTGTAGTTAGGAAGTGGCCAGGCTGTGCTTTGCTTGTGGGTAATCACTCTACTGGCAGATCCTTCATTTCTGCCTGGGTATAGAGTTCTGATGGTGACTTCCAGGTTTGCTCATTCTCGGGGATATCTGACCTTCAGAAAGGGTCATGGAGGAAGATAGTGACTACCAGAGGCCCCTTCTGGGGATTTCCTGTCAGGACCAGTCTGGTGGGTTTAGTAGTTTGAGCCCACTGTCCTTAACCCACACCTCCCTTCCCCCGCTGCCCCCATGCCCATGAATTTTGTTGTGAGGTTGTCCTTCTGGTCTCTCACCTCCTGAAAGAAAGGGCAAGTGTGTTCCTGACCCTACCCCTGCTGGGGAGGAGCCTGAGGGCAGGAGGGTTGGGGGTGAGTGGGAGTCTCTTTTCCTCCCACCAGCTCACACTTAACCAAGCCTGAACTTCTCCCTGGTGCCCCAGCCAAGTTTTTGTTCTTTTGTTTAAGCAATATCACTTTCGCCTTTGTTTGCTCCCTGGTGGAGCCTGGCCTGGCAGTGTGGGGTTGGGGTGGATAGTGGACGCGTGGGTGGCAGTGAGAAAGCTGGTTGTGGCTAAGGCATGGTCTTGAGAAAGGTCTAGGTTCACAACCCAGCTCCGCTGCTTTCTAGTTGTGTCACTTTGGGTAAATTACTGCACGCCAGTTTCCTGCAAAATGGTTGGAGCATGTTACAAGACGGTTGTGCCAGTAAAAATGAACTCATAGAGAGAAGAATCCAGCTCGGTATCTGGCATGTAGTGGATGGTTGGGCTAGTCACCCCAGCCCCTATGCCTTTACTTGGTGACTAAAGCTATAGGACTTGGGGATAGGGTGGGTGACCTTTTCTTAGATTCATGCCTATAGGGTAAGGACTGGATGTGGAATATGTCTGGAGTGACAGCTGAGGCCTGTGGGTTTGCAGAGACCTTTAGTTTTGCAGCCAAAATCCTTGAAGCGGGGAAGGAGGACAGCTCCAGCCTGAAGCCAGGAGACCTAGGTTCTAAGTCTAGTTCTGCTGCCAACTGCTTTGGGTGACCTTGGCAAAGTCCCTTGTCTTTTAATCTGTTTGCTGGGTTATAAAATGAGACCGTTGGGCTTAGTAGCCTCGGATACCTTCTGTTGGCAAATGTTAGATCCTGTAGAACAGACAGCACCTATCCCCTCTTCTGTAGATAATCTGGGGAGGCATCCAGCATCTCAACTACCAGGTACCAACCCCAGGTACCCACCAGCCCTGGGGCAAGCAGGATCTGTGGGATCTAGGCCCACTGATACATTCAACTGGTGATTTCTGTTATGGTCTGTGAGAAAGGGGACCTGAGGGCCCAGAGAAGGTGCCTGTGTGTGCACATGCACACATGAACACACAGTTCTGGGGCGGGGATGGGATGAGTGGAGAACAGATGGAGTAGGCTCAGCCAGGAGCGGGGTGGAGTCCTCTCTGGTCAGAGCTGGGTCTGGCTGCTGGGTGGCCTGGTTCTTCAAATCTACCCCAGACTGAATGGGCCTTGTCTGCAAAGCGGGTGAGGCAAGGGAGGGCTGTTGGCATGCCCCCCACTCTCAGACACACAAAGGGATGTTTGCCCATGATCCCATGGAGCTTGGGCCTCTTTTGATGACCTGATCTTAATGGGTTCCCACTTGGGAATTTACTTCTTGCCAAGAGTCGTGGGCAGAGAGGGGAAGAGAGGGTGCTTCTAAGTTGAAGAAGGATTTGCTTTCCTGTGTCCTCGCATGAGCACACCGCACAAAGCTTCTTCCAAGCCTCGTGACTTGCTGGAGGAGGGTACATTGGCTCCTCTAATGCTTGAGAACCCTGGAATAGGTGCTTGGCAGGGTCTACTTCTAGCCATGCCGCTGACCTCTGGTGCCCTGAGACAAGCTGTTTATCCTCTCCAGAATCCTGGTCTAGAAAGGAAAGGGGAGGGACCACCAGGCGACCCCTAAGAGGTCTGAAATGCAAGCAAATCTGGGTTTCAGCTTTGGTTTCCAGGCTGCCATACCTGCCTCCTCTCTTAGACTCCGTTTAGCTATTGTAACAGGGGAGCTGGTAACTCTCAGCCAATCAGCATGCTAATCCCGAGGTTGTTTTGAAACACCCCTTAGCATTTGCACATAGTAAAAGAAAGGAAGGACGGGTAAACAACATTCCAGGGCTCCTGAGGGTGAGGATTGGTGGGGAGGGTCTCTGCCTGAAGCCTGAAACTGTGCCTGAAGCCTGACACTGTGCCCCACTGTGGTGGGACCCCCCCAGCCCCCTGTCTTGAGGACTTGGAGCCATGACTCCCACAGCCAGTCTGGTCTCCCTGGCCAGGTCGACAAAGTGGCCATAGTACCATTTTTCTCTCCTGGGCTGGATTTGGCCTCCACTCCCCAAGGCTCCCTCCTAGCTGGGGTGATCGGGCACTCTACTTCTATGTGTGTCCGTGCAGGGGGTTCATGTATATGTGGTTAAAGGCTCAGGTGACCCATGCCTGGATTCTGGTCCAATGTGGCCACTTTCTGCCAGTATGACCTTGTGGCTGGGCAAGCCACTTAACCTTCCTGCAGCCCTGGTTCTACTTCTGCACAAGATCTATCAGGAGGACCTCTTTCCTGCTAAGGGCTCAGGAGGTCCTGCTCTTTCAGATTTGGGGTCTGGGGGTGGGAATCTGTGGCAGGGGGTGGGGGTAGGAGCGCAGGGACCTCGCCCTAGGGACAGTTTCGCAACCACCACTGAGAAGCCTTCCTCCCAGAGCTGCCAAACCAAAGCCACAGGCACGGGGCTGTGTGCGGGGGCTGGAATTCCAACACCAGCAGCTCAGCAGCTCCTGATTCCCGAGTCATGAAGTCATCCCCAACCAGGGCTTAACCCCTTCTGCCTCCCCACCCCCATGTGTGGCAAGTGTTCAGTAAAGATTCTCCCATCCGGTCGAAGAGGGCTACATGCCCACTGCCTTCCCCCTAGTCTGACCTTCCTCCCTTCCGAGAATCCAGCATATGCCCTCGCGGGGGTGGAAGAGGGCACAACAGTCAGGCTCTGCCCGCCTCTCCCCGGAAGCCAGTGGAGGAAGGAAGCCAGTGGAGGAAGTAACGGGAGGATCCTGGATGTCTCCTGCGACAGTTACCTTGTCCTATGAACAGATACTCCTTCTTGAGCTCCCCCACTGTGTCCCTGACAGTCTCAACCTGGTGAAAGACAGCCTGGGGCTCAGTCAGAAAAAGACACCTGGCCTCTCTACTCTGAGCTGCCTGACTAACTCAGTTATGGGACCCTAGGCAGGTCACTGGCGTGTTCAGGGCCCAGAGTATCTCAAATTCTGTGAAATGAGAGGACACGACCTCCCTGGCCTTTGTAGCTGGTCTTCTGGTGGTTCTAAGCAGAGCCCCTATCTCTTACAGTTAGGGGCTCTGAAAAGAACGGAGAATGTTTAGAGGAAGGGTGTGTACTGAACTTCATTGAAACCCTAACTCTTTTGGCAAATAGTAGGCACTTTCGCATTTGAGTTAATGTGGGGGGCGGGGGGATGAACTTTGCTCAGGGCTGCTGTTCTTTGGGAAGCCTTAACCCCCAACCTAAGAGGAAGAGTGAGAGGATGAATGTTTCCTACCCCTGTGAGTTGGGGGGGGCAGTTGGGGAAGGCGGTGGCGGGGGGGGAACAGAGTAGCTGATGTACTGTATAGGATCTTGGAAAAGTCTTTGCCTCCCTGGACCTTGATACTTTACCTTTGAAAGCTTATTGGTGGAAATGGGCTTAAGATTTTGCTGTGATATGATGGGCTGGGTCCCCATGGGGTAGGGATTGAGGACATTTGTGGGTGCTGGAGTGGATGGTCCATGAAGAACTGTGCCGCTCTGGTGCCTTGCCCTACCCAGGGCTGTTGCAGAACAGATTTGTGGGAGATGCTGGAAAGTTGAGTACAAGAGCGTGCTTATGTCCATGTGAGTCACCAGGTCTGTGCAGCTCCTGGCCTGAGGCTGCCCTGGGGTGTGGGTGAGACAGCCCTATCTGCCCCAGCCCAGTCTGAGTCAGCTGGGAAAGGTGTCCTGTTCTGGGCAAGACCAGCAGCCCTCTCCCTGCTGCTGGTCAATCAGCTATGACTTCATTTGCATCCGAGAACCCCCGGAGTGTCATACCCTCTAGCCCCTGTGGTTCTGCAGTCTGGCAGCTCTGTGCTGGATCCTCATTTTTCCACCTGCTACTCGTATCAGAAGGAAATCCCCACTTCCCTCTGTTGCCTTTGGTGTTAAGAACAGGGACTGACGCAGAGTAAATACTCTGTAAACGATACCAAGTAATATTTAATGTTCTGATTATTACTGACTTTATGATTTTTTATTAGCCTAGAATGGGAAAGAGATTTGCCTAAGGTCACACAGCAAATTAGGGACCAGGAGGGGTGCAGGACCTAGGTCTCCGGGTTCTGGCCTGAATACCTTCCAGCACCCCAGCTTATCTTACTGAATCCCCACTTCACTGCCTTTTGGGTCTCAGAGTCTGTTGTAGAGCACCAGGGTGCTGTTGAGGGGGCTGATGTGACTCCTTTTTTTCATCCTAGATCCGAGAGACCGAAGTCATCGACCCCCAAGACCTCCTAGAAGGCCGATACTTTTCTGGAGCCCTCCCAGATGACGAGGATGTAGGGGGCCCCGGGCAGGAACCCGATGATTTTGAGCTTTCTGGCTCTGGAGATCTGGGTATGGAGGATGTGGTGGGTAGGCCTGGGATTATGGGGCTGGAGGGTAGTGAGCTTGCCTTGAGATTTGGGTTTTTGTGGGGACTTTCCTACAGTGCTCCTCCGGTCTCAATAAAGAGGAAACAAAAGTAACTATCAATCCTTTTCCAGCTCTGACTACCCTCCTTGGGCGAGTTATTTGTTGCTTTGAGTTCACTTGTCGCTCTAGGTTTACTGAGCACCACCAGCCTGGACCTGTCTGCCCATGGCTGGGGGCCTGAGGAGGGGGTGCTGGAAAGAACTGTTAGTGTTTTCTTCCTATGCAAAGGAAAGGGACCAGCTCAAAAGTCTGCGAGCATGTGTGGGCAGAGGTGTGGGGGAAGGTGCCCAGGCTTCCGGGGGCTGGACCAGGAGCCAGGGCTGTTCATGGTCATCTGTGACTCCCTGGCTGCTGGGCCAGACACAGCTGCTGAGAGGCGTCCCTCCTCTGTGTAGAATGGTGTTGTGATTGGAAGTTTGAGCTTTGGAGTCACATAGGCTTGAGTTCCTACTGCTTCTCTGTGACCTCTAAGCCTGGGTTTCTAAATCGCAAAATAGAAAAATCAGCCTTTTGGGGATTGGGCTGAGTTAAAGCTCTCTTGGCACATACCAAGCACTCAGGACTTATTTTTTTATTTTATTTTATTTTATTTTATTTTATTTTATTTTATTTTATTTTATTTTATTTTATTTTATTATTTATTCATGAGAAACACAGAGAGGCGGAGACACAGGCAGAGGGAGAAGCAGGCTCCCTGCGGGCAGCCTGATGTGGGACTTGATCCCAGGACTCTGGGATCACGACCTGAGCCAAAGGCAGACGCTCAACCACAGAGCCACCCAGGCGTCCTCAGGACATATTTTAATGTTGCAATTCCTACTATTTAGTATTACAATCTAGAGTCTTCTTGAAGGAATCCCCTGGGGATCTTGTGAAAATGCAGACACTGATTCAGTGAGCCCTGAGATTCTGCATTTCTCACCGGCTCCCAGGTGCTGCTGTTGGCCCCTGGATCCCTAATTACAGAGCAGGGGTTTGGAGCTGACAAAGCATCAGCTCAGCTACCTACCTGCTCAGCATTCTTGTGAAAGAGCCAGGGAGGCCAGTCTTTGGGGCTCCATTTGACAGATGAGGTGACTCAAGCTGGGGTGGGAATGGTCACTTGCTATACAGTGAGCGTTTGAGGGCTGGTGTAAGTTAGGATCCCCCCAACCCCCTCAAACCATGGCTGAAGAAAGGGGAGGTCCTTTATCTAAAGATACGTGACTTCACACTCACACAGCCTTTCTGACCTTCCAGATGACTCAGAGCACCGCCAGACCTTCCCCGAAGTAATCCAGCCTCTGGTGAGTAGTTATGTGCTTTTGCCTCTCCTGACTTGTTCCTCTTTGACAGCTGTTGAGAGGGACCCATAAGTGAGGGTCTGACCTCTCACTCTGTAGGAAAGCTTTTATTTGTGGCCCTGGCTCCTTAGAGGTGCCTCCTTAGAGGCAGGCACAGCTGTGGGTCATGGCTAGGCCATCCTTCCTGCAGGGATAATCACTGTCAACACTTAGAGGTGTTTCCAGCCCCTTTACTGTGCGTTTCTAGGTATTTCCCAACATTAGTATCAAATTGTATATGCAGTTTTCTGTGCTGCATTTTTCACTTGAAAGTGGTCATGAGTTTATTATACGAATTTATTTCCTCACATAATTAAATGTGCTTCCTACTCATTTTTATAGGCACATAATCATAGTTCACAACTTTTCCCTTACTGATGGAAAAGTTAGTTGTATATGATTTTTTGATATTCTAAAATTATAACACTACAGCAAGCATCTTTCACTCAAATGTCTGATTGGCTCCTTGGGATAGAATCCCTTAAAAAAGTTCCTGCCTTAAAAGTTCCTGCCTTAAAGGACCAGCGATTTCTACAGTTTTGCCAGACTGCCCCCGCCCCCCACCTACCCCCTCAGCAGGGGTGGTTATTCTCAAATACCCACTACCAGCAGTGAGTAGAAACACCTGCTTCCCTGCCCCCTCGGTCACATTATTCATTCCCCATTTGGGAGTCTATTAGAAAGGCTGAGGGTAAGCATTTGATGGCATAATTGATGAGAAGTTGGTGCTGCTTTGTGCTCCAGGACCACATGGTTCAGCCAGCAAGATGGCAAAAGCAGACAAAAAAATGTTTCCATCCCCTGCCCTGGGTTTGTCCCCAAACCATGCTGAGTGTTCCTTCCATCCCATCCAGGTGCCTCTAGATAATCATATCCCTGAGAAGGCAGGGCCTGGGAGCTGGGTCCCCACCGAACCCAAGGAATTGGAGGAGAACGAGGTCATCCCCAAAAGGATCTCCCCCTTTGAAGGGGATGAGGATGTATCTAACAAGGTGTCCATGTCCAGCACTGCGCAGGGCGGCAACATCTTTGAGAGGACAGAGGTTCTGGCAGGTAAGGTCCTCACCAGATACTTCAAAGGGGGAGAGGACTCAGAGGAAGGTAGTGCTGCAGACACAGGATGCCTCGGGCCCACTGGGCTCCTTGGTACCCTTCCTGCCCTCTGCAGTGGCCCCCAAGGACTATACCTCCCTAGGGGCTGGCTCTGACTGGGGGAGGGAGAGGAAGAATTGCATATCAAGGCTTGTGAAGAACAGCCTGTGAGTCTGTCACTTGCCTTAAGTCCCTCTGTGTTGTTTTTGAAACATTTGCATAGGCCTGGGGTTGGTATCTAGGGAGTTAATTATTAAACATCAATTTCCCCTGAAAGTCCAGAGAGTCCTCTGGATTGGGCTAGGGCTCCCCTTCCCTCTACTCTATTACTTGATAGCCTTGTGACCTTCCTTGGCTGAGCAGCTTTTTCCAACCTCCGTTGAGGAGGTGAGTCTCAGTTTCCTCCTCTGTAAATGGGTACAATGCTACCCCTTGGGTTGGTGTCATAACTCCATGAAAATTAGAATCTGAAGTAAATTGGCAAGCTGTAAAGCGCTCTTCTGATTTGTTGGTATAATCTGTCATTGAGTCTTCATTGACTTTTCATTTAAGGTGGCATACCAGAAACCTTCATATGGCAAATGAAGGCACTGTGAGGCCTAGAGAGGGGTTTGGTGCTTAGCCTGATGCAAGAACCATAGGTTCTTGACTGGGGGCAGCAGGTGGGAGAGGGGGTGCTATCATGGTAGAAGCCCTGTGCTGGGGTGGGGCTTCAGGTGTGGCCTTCAGTGGATGTGGTGACTGACACTCCCTCTCTCCTTCCCTGACAGCTTCAGGGTCTCCAAAGCTGGGGATGGGTTGTCAGAGGGAACTCTCTTTTCTGGCCAAGGTTTATAGGCCAAGGGTCTATCTGCATGAACCAGCCTGGTGAGGGGGTACTTGGTGTTCTTTCTACTTTTCCTTGGCTGCTTTATGTGCAATGTAGGAAGGGTAGGGGATGCTGTTGGAACTCAGGAGGCCCTTAGAGACCTTTTAGTCACCTAAGCTTCAAAATATTTAGTAAAACATCCCCCATATTTTTTCAACCACTTTTAGCTGGGATATGTGGGATTAGCACAAGGCTTTGCTTTCACCAACTAAGGGTTGTGCTGTTTTTTATTTAATTTAATTTATTTTATTTTTTTAAATTTTTTTTTAAATTTTTTTATTTATTTATGATAGTCACAGAGAGAGAGAGAGAGAGGCAGAGACATAGGCAGAGGGAGAAGCAGGCTCCATGCACCGGGAGCCCAACGTGGGACTCGATCCCGGGTCTCCAGGATCGCACCCTGGACCAAAGGCAGGCGCCAAACCGCTGTGCCACCCAGGGATCCCCCTATTTTATTTTTTAAAAGATTTTATTTATTCATGAGAGACACAGAGAGAGGCAGAGATATAGGCAGAGGGAGAAGCAGGCTCCCTGTGGGGAGCCTGATATGGGACTCAATCCCAGGACCCCAGGATCACGACCTGAGCCAAAGGCAGACACTCAACCACTGAGCCACCCAGGTGCCCAGGTTCTGCTGCTTTTATTTATTTATTTATTTTTAAGTTTTTATTTATTTATTCATGAGAGATACAGGGAGAGAGAGAGAGGCAGAGACACAGGCAGAGGGAGAAGCAGGTTCCATGCAGGGAGCCCGACATGGGACTCGATCTCGGGTCCCCAGGATCATGCCCTGGGCTGAAGGCGGCACTAAACCACTGAGCCACCTGGGCTGCCCGGTTCTGCTGCTTTTAAAGAAAAATTTAAAAACCACTGATCTAGTCCAAGCAAGTGTGTCTTGTAAATAGGGAAACCACAGCTTGGGTCACGTAGCAAGAGATAGAACCAAAGCCAGGCCATCTCTTAAATCTTCAGGTTGAGAATCATACATGCATAAGATCTTGATGTGGGAAGTTAATGTTGTTGCATTAGTTGAGGTGGGACTCTGTTCCAGCAGCATCTAAATGGCACCTGGAAGTTTCTCAAGTGCTTGCTAGGTGCCATCTCATCCATGTGCCCCCTCACTGAGTCTCCACAACCCTATCAGACACATATGGTTATCTGTACTCTTACAGATAAGGAAACTGAGGCTCAGAGAAGCCAAATCACTTATGCAAAGTCACCAAACTAGGCGGTGGTAGCCCTGGCATTTGAACCTTTAGCACAGTCCCTTTTGAACCTGTCCTTTAACCTTAACATAGTGGAGAGTCCCAGCACAGACCAAGGCCCTGAGAGAGGAGCTGGAGGGGTATCAGGGAAAGGTGATAAAAACAGTAGCAGAGTTGATACCTCATTCCGTGTGCATTTTCTGTATTTCCTGGGGTCACTTTGTGGCTGCTTTTTCTTAGAGTTTTAGCCAAGAAAGAACCTCACTGGGCTCCTCTGTGCCATTCTGCCCCCATTCTGTGCATAGATGTGGAGTGTGGGCAGGGATGGAAAATTAATCTTCTTAGCCCTAGTAAGACCGAATTAGGGGACTCAGTCTGCCACAGCAAGGATTCTGTGAGATATCCCTGCCCCCTCAACAAACAGGAGTGAGCCCTTCAGGCGGGCCCGGCATAATGCAGAACAGCTGCTCACCTGAGGTTAGCAGTGCACCTCTGCCTGACGCTAGCAGGTAACCTTGGGCAGTGCTTCTTTCTGAGCTGAACTGTGCGTGTCATTTATTAAGCACATAACTGTTGTGCCAGGCCCAGTTCAGGGTGCCAGGGACACAGATATAAACCACAAAGGTTTACAGTTAGCGAGTACTGAGCATATGCTATGCATTGTTCTAAGCACTTTCCGTGGGTTTATTTAATCCTTAGGACAGATGAGTGAGAAAGTTACTATTGCTTTCATTTTGCAATGAGAGAGATGAAGGAACTTGCCTCATCACACAGCCAATGATGAGTAATGGGAGTGGGTCCTAGGCCTTAGCCACCGAGCTGCGAACGTAGGAGTGTAAACCACAGTATGTAATTGCCTCTGACATAGTAGCATGGCAGTGTTAGCACGTCCAAGCTGTGTTCGGTAGTGTACACCTACGTGCATAGAGAACTTGTATACATGTCTGTAGAGTGTAGGCCCAGGGGCACCTGGACGGCTCAGTCGGTTAAGTGTCTGCCTTCAGCTCGGGTCATGATCTCAGGGTCTCAGGATCGAGCCCCACATCGGGCTCCCTGCTCAGTGGAGAGTCTGCTTCTCCCTCTGCCCCTCCCCTGCCCCCTGCCCCCGCTCTTGTTCTTTTTCTCACTCACTCTCTCTCTCTGTCTCTCAAATAAATAAATATGATCTTTAAAAAAGCAGATAGAAGCGTAGGCCCGTGTAGGTGTGTGTGCACACAGAGCCCTCTAGACAGCGCGCTGTGCCAAGGCTGTGCTGTGAGTATGTCTAGGTGGATTTTTGCAGCCTGCAGGTTTGCTAGTCCCTGGCTGAGTGAGTTAGTGTTAAGCTGTTGCTGGGGCGGGCGCCTGGCTGTGGGCTCCAGCAGGGGTGGGTTGGAATGGTGGCTTTGCCACTGTAGCTCTGTGGTCTTCGGTGACTTACGGTGAACCCAGTCTGGTTAATGAGGTCATGTGTAGCACAGGCGACAGCAAGGGGAGGGAGATCTAGTTGTAAGAGAGCTGACTGGGGAGTGGGGGAAGCGGTAGCGTACCCAAGGCCCTAACCCACAGCTCTCCCTGTTCTTCCCCTGCAGCTCTGATCGTGGGTGGCGGCGTGGGCATCCTCTTTGCCATTTTCCTGGTCCTGCTGCTGGTATACCGCATGAAGAAGAAGGATGAAGGCACCTATGACCTGGGCAAGAAACCCATCTACAAAAAAGCCCCCACCAACGAGTTCTATGCCTGAAGCACCCGCCTGGGTACTGGCTTAGGCCTCCTCGGGGAGGGAAGCCGAAGGATTTTGCAGGGTGGACGTTAGGGTCGGGGGAGGGCCACCTAATACTGACCTGTCGGCATCTCCAGCTCTAATTATGTTTCCAGTGTCAGATGAGACCTCATCTTCTGTTCCTGCCTGCCTCTTCTTGATTCTCTGGGCCTCGATTGTCCCGGCAGAAAAATGGGGTTAACACTTGGCTTTGCTGAAGGCAGGTGTGGGATTGGATCATTTCTTAATCTCACACTTCACGTGTGCCCAGCTTACAGCCTCTCCTGAACCTGCCTCCCCAGGGCCCCTCTGAAGCTGGTACAGGAGTCCTGCTGGAGCTCTGCCCCCCAGCGGCCTTTTCCCTCCCTTCTGTGAAAAGGAGCTGGGAGAAGGAACTAGAACCTTTCTGTACCTTGAGATGATGTGTCTGTCAGAGGGCACTTGTGGCCACACTACAGGAGTCTGTGGTATACCTTGAGCCATTCTCGGCTCTTCCAAGTGACTTTGGGAAATCAACCTTTTTTATTGGGAGGAGGGGGGTGGGCAGAAGAAGTGAAAGTTCATACTGAAATGGACTTGCAGAGTATTTGTAAATCTGCTTTCAGCGGGGTATTTTTTCTTAATGGTTCATTCCTTGGTGCAGAGCCTCTGCCTGGGCAAGAGTGTGCCGATGCCGAGATGTTCTCCTCTCTCTTGCACTTTCCACAGTACCTGCTAAGTTTGTATTTAATGGTTTTTTATTTTTGTTTCTCAAAAATGAGAGAAGAGACGGGATATGATTTTTATTAATTTTTTTTTTTTTTTTTTTTTTTTTACTATTTATAGCTTCAGACAGGGCCCTCTTCCCTCTTTTTCTTTAAATACCCTCCCCATTTTTTTTTTTTTTTTATACTTAACACACCCCTGCTCATGACCTTGGCCCTTTCTGAAGCTGCTTCCTCTGAGAAGTAGCTTTTGCTGAACCAGGCTTCTAGCAGATCCCAAAATATAATGTAGGGGATGGTGGGATATTTGTGTCTCTTTTCTTGTAATATATTGTTATTCTTTCTTGGTTCTAGAAAAATAGATAAATATATTTTTTCAGGAAATAGTGCGATATGTCCCATTTGAAGTTGGCTGGATGGTTGAGTGAGTGGATTTTTGTGTTGCTGAGTGGGTTTTTGCCTCCTCCCCCCTTCCCCGTTCCTGGTGCCTTCTCCTGATTGGGCTGGAATAATTGAGGGTAGATAGTTAGTTCTACCTTCATTCTAGCTTCTGCTTTGATCCCAGCTGGTGTTCCTTTGTTTGTTTTCTCCAAATTTACGAGAAAATTGGACAGCTGTTCTATCCATTATGGTGACCACTAGACACATATGGTTATTCAAATCAATTAAAATCACATAAAGTTATAAATTCATTCCTCATTTACACTAACCAAGTGCTCATTTGCCATAAATGGCTCGTGACTGCTATACGGAACACGCAGATGGAGACCATGTCCACCTGTTGAGCCTCAATGCTAGAGAACTAAACTGGCTTAACAGGTCCCAGCCCCAGCCTTGCTGGGGTGACCTTTGTCTCCCAGGGTGAAGGGGGGATGAGGGAGGGCTGATGGGGGCTCTGGCTCTGGAGCTTGTTATCTGTGACCCTCCCTGTCCACAAAGTAGAGGCCTGGGGGCTTAGCCTGGGCAGTCTGCATCTTCTCCTGACCCCACTGGCTGGGGTACAGGGGAGTCACCCTTGCCCTCTGCACCCTTCACCACTACAACCCAGGGTCCCAGCTGGCTGGGTCCTCTGCACCGCCCCATCTCCCCCACCCATGTCCTTTCCCTCTGGTTATGTTGGGAGTGAGCACCTCTTCTTGTAGCCACTTCACACTGTTGTCTGTTACTTAATTTTTTTTTTTTAATAAGAAGATAATAAAACCTGGTACTTTCTAGATGGCCTGTCTCTGTCATTTTTCTTCCTTGTCATTTTAAAGTGTGTGAGAAGTCATCCTTTCTGGGCTCTATAACCATTGAGATCGGTGGAGCCTGAGAGGACTGCTTAACCAAATGCCCTTAGGGTTGCCAGACACAGGAGGCAGAGCTGTGAGAAGCCAAGAAAGGATCTAGGAAGAGAGTCAGAACATGTACACGGACGCCTGTAGGCATGTTGCACTTGCCTTGGTATTTAATTTAGATGGCACTTTGTTTAAAAAAAAAAAAAAACACAAAAACCTTGGGTTAGGAGCTAACTATAGAAATGATGTTTGGGGCACATGGGTGGCTCAGTGGTTAAGCATCTGCCTTTGGCTCAGGTCGTGATCCTGCATCAGGCTCCCCACAAGGAGCTTGCTTCTTCTTCTGCCTATGTCTCTGCCTCTCTCTGTGTCTCTCATGAATAAATAAAATATTTTTAAAAAGGAGGATGCTCCCCATATAAATCCAGATTCCCCACTTTTTTCGGGAAGAATTCAAGATATGGCTACTCTCTGGCTGCATGGCTACAGTTGGAAGTTGCTGATAGGCAAGATCCTGTCTAGACATAGCGTCTCTGTCCACCTGCTGTCCCTTATGTCACCTGCTTGGCTGCTGCAGGCATTGCCATAGTTGGGTCTGGGCAAACCCCCCTGATGCCTCTCTTGATACTGGTAAGAGCTTTTTTACCAAGGGGGAAGCCTGCACTTAGCTTGTCTGCAGAGTTAAACCTTAATTCCTAGGCCTTGGGCTTTGGTGGTCTAACCTCAGTGTCATGCTGCCCAGTGCCCGGCCGGGGTCCATGGAAGGATACTGAGGAACTGGTAGTAGTAGAAGCAAACCCTCCTGTCACCTGCTTGTGCCAGGACCCATTCTCTGCTTCACAACAGAACTCACTTTATCAGCACAATAATTGCACCGAGTAGGTGCTGTTAGGATCCCCATTAGATAGGTGGGGACACTGCAGCTAAGAGGTGACATAACTTGTCCGAAGTGACACAGTTTACCAATGGTAGAGGTGGGGTTGGAACCCAGGCATTTGAGCTCAGGAATCTACCCAGCACCATACTGCCCATCAGAGGGTTGATGTGGCCCTAGGCCCCCTCACCAAGGCTGCTTGGGACCTGTGTACCCCACTCTGAAGCAGTGAGTCTGGTCCCAAGTCCCGCCCAAGCCCCACGCCACACCTTGGTTTCCTGAGCCCTGTGAGACTTGAGGGCATCTCTGTTCCTCACAACCTGGTTCTTGCAGACAGACCTCACCTCCGTTAGACTTCTGCTGTCCAGCACAGCAGCTATTTGTCATGTGGCTATTTCAATTTAATGTTTTAAAAATGAGCTAGCCACATCTCAAGTGATCAGTAGCCACATACAGCCGCCAGCTGCTCTGGAACAGTGCAGACAGATGGAGAACATTTCCATTGTCTCAGAAATTTCTATTAGGTCCATGGCGGGTGATGGGAAACTGGGGCTCACGACCTTGGGACTTGGATTTCAGCTTTTCCCAGTGGTTATCTCATTACCAACGGCCTACAGGGAGGTAGGTCAGAGCCCAGTAGGCAATAAGTGCTCAATAAAAGGCACTTCATCGTCATCATCAGTGCCATCTTTTGGGATAGGTATTAGCTCTAGAAGGCCCCTTTATTACCCATCGCTGTGCAAAGTTACCCCCCAATTTAGGGTCTTATGACCACTATCTCAGAGTTTCTGGCGATCAGGAATTTGGGAGCAGCTGAGCCAGGGGTTTCTGGGATCTCATAAAGTCGTAATCAAAATGTTGACCAGTGGCTGGGCTGGAAGATCCACTTCCGAGGTGGTTCACTTACATGCCTGGCAAGTTGGTTCAGGCTGATGACAGGAGGCCCCAGGTCCTTGCTTGCCATGGGGCCCCTCAGGGCTGATTTTATGTCCTCATTACACAGCCACCAGCTTTTCCCAGAGAGTGATCCAAGACAGCCAGGTGGAAGTTACAACGCCTTTTAGGCCAAACCTCAGGTCACACACTGTCACTTCCACAAAATATCCTATTGGTACACAGGTCAGCCCCATTCATCGTGAAAGGAGACCACAGGAGGGCAGGAATGCCTTCAGGAGGCAAGACCCATTAGATACCATCTTAGTAGACCAGGCTATATATAGCCTGGTTGCTGGTCAACTATGGACAGGGCTTAATTTACCTAGAACACTAACTCTGAGTGCAACTTGGTATAGTATTTTTTCTGAGAATTGGGCACAGGATGCAAAGTGAATATTAGACAATAATGAGCAATTTTGTTCACAATCTTGCCATTTCTCTGAAGCAGGAGAAGCGTGGACCCCTGTGTCGGGTAATGGGGTGGCTTATAGGCCAAATAGATTCCCTGTCGTCAGTAATCTGCTGTGTAGTTTTTTTTGGGGGGTGGGATAGTCAGAATTCTAAGATGACCCCCAAGATTTCTGCCCCTTGTTGTAGACACCTGTATATCCCTTCCCTTTGAATATGGGCAGGACCTATAAACGCGATGGATGCTACTTCTATGATTAGGTATATTAGACAGGAAAGGTGAAAGGGTTTTGTAGATGTAACTGAGGTCCCAAACTAGTTGATTTTTGAGTTAGTGAAAAGGGAGATTACCCAGGGTGGGCCGAGCTTAATCAGTTAAAAGCACTAACAAGAGGGTTTGGAATCTTCCTGGTAAGAAGAGAGGTGCTCTCCTGTTGGCCTTGAAGAAGCAAGCTTCCACGAGTTCTACAGCTACAAGGACATGAATTTTGCCAACAACTGTGAGCTTGGAATGGGACCCTTTCCCTCAGACAGACTGCCGTGCCACCCCTGGCTTGCACCTTGATTACGGCTGTGGGAGGCCCTTAGCAGAAGACCCAGCAAAGCTGTGCTGGACTCCTGATCCATGGAAACCGTGAGACAAGAAACTGGTGTTATTTTAACCTGCTCTGTGTTCTGGTAGTTTGTGACAAAACATAGAAAACGAATACAGGAAGGTCACTTGCCTCCTGCAGATCATCAGTTTCCCCATCCATGATATGGAGGGGAGCGCAATATCCTGGGCTTGGCTGATTTTGCCCTGATGTATATATATCAGCCAAGCCCGGGACACCCCTCGCCTTGCTAAGGCGCTGATGGACACACCTTCAGACACTAGCCCGGGTTGCAGAGGAGGATGTTTTGAACCAGATGGGGGCTTGTGGGATGAGCTCTGCAGAGTGGGCTCCACTTCGGCACTCTGTAATCCAGGTGAATCCATAAAGAACTTGGTCACAAGTCTCTGTCTTCCCCTAGGCCTTGCCTGCCTCTAGGGCTAGCAGCCAGCTGGGGCAGGTGTTTACCACTTAAAGGCATTATTGTGTCACTCCTGCCCCACCTGACTTTGCCCCCTGGGGTTGGGAAGAGAGCCCAGCCTGACTAGAGGATCTTTTTTTTTTTTTTTTTTTTTTTGGTGAGTATGGTCAGGGATGACTCTTACAGACCTTAGTGGATGCTATCTTATTGGTTTTATTCCCCTTAAAGCTATTTCCTCCCTCCCTCGTCTTCACAGTCTGTGCCCTTAGCAGTTTACAACCTTGCCCCGGGGAGGAGGGTGTCTGAGAATTCTATCCACACTGCAGTTATAACAATTTCTCTTTGAGGAAACCCCACTTAAAAGAAACAGAAGAGAAACCCAAAGGTCAAAGCTTAAGCCTGTAGAAGAGCTTGTTTATGGTGGAACCTCAGGCAACGTGAGAGCTGGTAGGCTTGGAGATTTTAGAACAGAGATTTTGACTTTATTGGCACTCTGAGAACCCGAGTCCCAGACTTAGCATGAGGAACATAGGACTTAAATTAGGCTCTGCGGTCAACCTGCTCTTGGAGCTTCGTGGGCCCTTTCTCTGAGCCTGTTTCCCTGTCTGTCAAATGATGAGGAAATATAGACTAGAGCAATGACTCTCAACCCTGGGGTTCTGATCCTGACAGTGTGAAAATGTTAAGATTGTCTTTTAAAACTCTCTCTCTCTCTCTTTTTTTTTTTTTTTGTAATGTCTTTTAAAACTCTTAACGATTCTTTTAACAACAAACACTTGAAAACTTAACTCTTGGGCAGGAAACAGTGCCACCTGCTGGTTTCACTTTGCACCTGCAAATATGCAAATTGCCAGTGCAATGCTTGGCATTTGGTATTTATTGAGCCTCAAAGTTCAAGCTATGCTAAGGCGCCCTCTAGTACACAGCCATGAGCCTCTTTCCCCATGAGCTCACAGTCTAGAGGGGACAATCGACGTGCACATAAAGTCCTTTGATCCAGGGTGGGGGGTGACGTGGTCCCAGTGAAGTTCTAGGGAACACAGGGTAGGACCAGAGCATGTGAATTGTGCACTCAAGGCTCTGTACTTAGAAGAGCCTGCCTTGACTTTATGATCTGGTGTCACTGTCTTGAAATTCTTAATATTTTTTAAAAGCGTCATACATTTTTATTTTCCTTCCTTCTTTCTTTTTTTTTTCCTATACCTTTTTGTTTTGCACTGGGCCCCATAAAGTATGTAGCTGGTTCTGCCCTGGGAAGATCTTGGAAGAGGTGACATTTGAGCTGGATTTGGAGAATAGGGCAGTAGGTGGAGGGAGATGAAAGAAGGAAGCCTATTCTAGCACCGAAGGCAAGTGGAGAGGTGGAGTCCTTAGGCCTAGGAGGTGTGAGAGAAGGAGATAGAAGGTGGGTTGCTGCGAAGGCTGAAGAGGGTGGGGACTTCATGTCAGATGGATTCAGGTTGTGTGCTAGGAAGACCTCTAAGCACAGTACAGCTGCTGGAACTCAGAAGAGTTCCAGGGGTGGAGCCAGGGGTAGAGTTTTTTTTTTTTTTTTTTTTTATAAATTAATTTTTATTGGTGTTCAATTTACCAACATACAGAATAACACCCAGTGCTCATCCCATCAAGTGTCCCCCTCAGTGCCCGTCACCCATTCACCCCCACCCCCCGCCCTCCTCCCCCTCCACCACCCCTAGTTCATTTCCCAGAGTTAGAAGTCTTTATGTTCTGTCTCCCTTTCTGATATTTCTCACACATTTCTTCTCCCTTCCCTTATATTCCCTTTCGCTATTATTCCTATTCCAGGGGTAGAGTTTTGAGGTCACAGACTTCTGTGTGGGTGCATAGGTGGGACTCAGGGCCCTGTGGTGCCCAGAGGGGAGTGCAGAAGGAGACAGAGCTGCATGGCTGGGCCTGGGCTTTCAGGCCAACCTAGGATCTTGGCTTCCAGGACTCCTGCCTTGTGAAGTGGCAGAGGAAGTCCTTGAGGGCAGGGCTGAGTGGGCCCTTGTGCCCCAATGCCCCACATGGTGTGCTGTGAAACTCATTCTCCTACAAGTGGCTTCCTGCTTCAACAGCCTCATGGGACTGTGAAAGCAAACTCTTGTGAGGTGGACACTCATGTAGGGGACATTTCCCATTCAACTTGTTCCCTGTATTCCTCAGCCAGGAGGAGCTCTCAGGGGCCATGAGGGCCCTTGAACAAGCTTCTCCTTCCCTGCCATAGTGGATTTCCGCCTGCTGATGGTAGATGACAGAGCTTCACTATGACTTTGGGAAGTTTCCATAGCAAAAGGCCACTTCCTCCCCTCGGGAAATGAGCCCTTGCTCAGAATTCAAGGGCCAAGAGGGGTGAGAGCCCTGAACCCACATTTCAGTTCAGTTCTCCCCATGGGGCACCATGGGGACTGGTACAGGGTCACTGGCACCTATATCCTTAGTTTCAACAGCCTGAGCCATGACCCTGCATGATTTTTCTGCTTCTGTATAAAGCACAGACTTGAGAGAGGATGGGCAGGTTGATCAAGGCAGACTGTGATTTGGTCTCCAGGGCCCCATACAGAGCAGCTCCTTTCCCAGCTGGGTTATCGCCAGGAGTTCCACCCAGAATTGTACTGTTTTGTATCCTGTGTTTGCCCCTGGGCCTGGGGTGTATCTTTGCTTGGATTGGGGGCATAGCTAGTAGGATAACATCCCCAGAGCCAACAGGTGGGCCCCAGGGCAGGGACAGGCGCTCAGAGATGCTAGCTGCTTCTGAACACCATTCCTTCTCCAGAAAGGGTAAAAAAGGCAGGCTCCCTGTTCCATCAGACTTGAAGTCCCTTCTTCTGTATGTGTGAGCGTGGGGGGAAGTACACTGAGCACCCCACTCCTTGGGGAGGTGGGTCATTCAGATCAGACTCTGCCTTGGCATGACAGAGGAATCCCTGATCTTCAGGTCCACATCCTGATGGGCCTGCAAGAGAAGTGCCTGGGTGGACAGTTAAGATGGCAAGACCTGACTACTGTTTTAGGCACCAAAGCTGTAGGCCAGAGAGTAAACACAGGCCTATGTACTATGTACATAGTACTATGCCTGGCTCCAGCCACTGGGAGTACAACGAGGGGCAGGTTCCAGGGTGGAACCCCACCCCAGGAGGGACTCAGTGCTTCCAGTGGGATCCAGTGGACCCCCTGCACCAGGCGGGATTTGGTGTTCTAGGGGAGCCCAGGACTCCGGGTGAGACCTGGTGCCCTAAGAGGGACCTATTGCTTCAAGTGGAACCCAAGGCTCCAAGCAGTAGCTAGTGTTCCAGATGGCACCTGATGCCCCAGGTGACAGTCCTTTAAGCAGGACCTGGTGCTCCATGTAGAAGTTGGCATTCCAGGTCAGATCTAGTACTCCATGTAGGACAGGATGCTCCAGAGCACGTCTCAGGAGCCCATGCTCCATGCCTGGGTGGAGCGGTAGGTGGAGCACTATGTGTCTTTTCTTCAAGAGGAGACATAACTGCACAGGGGGTAAATACCCCAGACTTGACTCCTTCTTAGGAGTGTGAAATCTTAGTGAGACACAGGGAGAAGCAGAGAGAGACACAGTTGGAGGGATAAGCACACACATGTAGGGCGACATGCAAAGTTACTGGGGGAGAGAGAGACTGGTACAGGTTGACTGGTACTGATTGCTTGATTTGAAGAGTGAGTTGGACAAACACAGGGAGAGTCACGCTCGTGTCTGGACACAGGCATCATAGCATCACTCGGGTCGTGTCTTCTTGGGTATATAACAATGAGTGGTGACAGTTTCTATGGCGATAGCCTTCCCCCACCCAAGCTTTGGTCTTCACAGCAAAGGGGCACGGGGCAGGGCCTGGGACCCCAAAAACCGGCTCCGGGCCAGGCGCGGGCGGAGCTAAGTTTGGATGAAGAGGTGGAAGTTGGTGCGCGTGAACTCGTGGTGGATGCTCTCGAGGAGCGCGTCGGCGTCCGCGGCGGGCTCGAGGGCGCCTGGGGGGCCCGGCCGCGCGCTGTACTCCGGGGTGTAGGTGAAGGAGAAGGCGCTGGGGTAGAAGAGGCCGTCGGCGCGCACCAGGCTCACGGGCACCGTGATGGGGGTGCGCAGCCAGCGCCAGTCGCTGCCGAAGGCGGCTATGTCGGGTACCACGCACACCAGGGACCGCGGGCTCCTGGGGTGGCCTCGAGGTTAGGGCTGCAGTGACAACGATGACAGGTACCTGCCCCGTCCCCACATCCCCGCGGCCCAAGAGAGGCGCCCCCTATACCTGTACATGGTTTCGGCCTCCACGTCCCCAAACCACACCTTGAGCCCCGCGTGGAAGTTCTCACCGTGAAGCTCCAGCGTGGCCACGTCGCCCCCACCGCTCAGCTAGGGGAGGAGGGAGCAGGTGCCGTGGCGGAGAGCCTAGGTTCTCCTGGCCAGCACCTGTTCTGAGCACCCCTCCCCCAGTCAGATCCCCACCGGCCTGCGTCCACCAGTGCCCAGATTCACCTCCAGGGTGCTGATGAGGGGCACCGGAGTGACTGGTTCCCGGGTCCACGCCAGGCTGGTGCTGAAGGAGAACTCCACTGACTCTGTGCCAATGATGGTCCAGCAAGAGCTGTCGTTGAGCAGAGCCCTGTTCGACTCCTTGGGGCAGGGAGAGGCCTGGGAGGAGACCCGAGGGGATGGTGGCCCCCCAGCACTGGGGAGCCAGCACAGAGCCTGAGCTTCTGCATTCTGGGGTTCCCTCCTAGGCTCCAAGCTTTACCTGTCCTGTGAGCTTGGACAAGACCCTTAAGTTCCCAGAGGTAAGTACGTTCACTGAACCAGCTGGTTTCTAAAGGCCTATTAGGATTCTAGACTTCTATTTTTTAGCAGTGTGCAATTCTCTTCTACTATTTTAAAATTATTTGGGAGGGAATATTGCTCAATAATAATGTTATTTTCTACATATTATGATTTTATCTCAACATTCTATGACAATATTCTTTTTGGAGTTACGTAATAATAATAATAATTTTCCACATTCTACAATTCTATCACTTACCATTTTATGGTTCTAATGCTCTTTACACAATAATCCTCAATACTACTACTTATTACTACTTTTACTTTCATTTTATAGTCTTATCTCACAACATTCTAGGACTCTAATACCCTTTGGGAAGAAGCATGGCTCAATAATATTACTATTTTTTCTTCATCCTTGGGTCCTGATAGTCTACAATTCGAATACTGCATGGAAAGCAGTATTGCTCAGTAAGCAGCAGCCATTATGATGATGATGATGATAGGGATCTTATGTTCTATGTTCTCTGTGTTCTGACTTTCTAGGATGCTTGATGCCAATACTCTCTACCCCTCACCTGGAACTGCACCACCTTGTCTGTAGCGAGACATAAGTAATTGCCAACCCCTCCAGGAGAATCACCAGGAAACTGGAATGCACACTTGTGCAATTGGGAGATGGGCTCATCCACGTCGAGGAGTGCGCACTGTTTGGCCACTTTGCGGATGATCTACAACAGAAAATGTGGTAGGAAGCACGGCAGCCAGGTGCCTGGGTGGCCAGAAGCTGTCTTCCCAGCCAACTTTCAGCTATCCAATAGCCATGTGGGTACTGGCAGGTTCCTTCCACGCCCCCCGCCCCTCACCAACCCTTTACCTCCATCCAGAATCCTAAGTATCCAGAATGAGAACAGGTGTCTTCATGACTTGGGCCCTCACCCTCCAGTCCTGCTCTTGTGGATCATACCTTCTGCATGGGTCTGTAGGGATCCCCCTCCCCCCCCAGGTATGCCCTCCCTTCTCATACCATTGGAGGTAATGTGATGCCTGTGACAGTGCAGACAAGTTGCACCAGGGAGCCATAGCGGACATAGCCCTCTCGAGGCGGGAAGTCCCCCTGGGAACAGTGTTCATCAGCTGGAGTAAAAAGAGGGAAGAGAAGGAAGGAAAGTTTCAGGGGTTCCAAGCTTCTGCCCCAAACCCTGCCCTCCTTGCCTCTGGCCCCACCCTGCATCACATATGGATCTTGTGGGTAGGGTCGGCATGCAGGGAGACAGCTGAGGCTGAAAGTTCTCATCCTCGAGGGGTCCTTGAAAAATGTTTGCTCCTGGGGTGGGGTCTGTGATGAAGGGAAAGGGTTGGACATTGGAGCCAGAATGGCTTAGACTAGTTGCAGGTTCACTAGGACTTTTGGCAAGCCTCAATTCCGTGGGCAAAGTTTACTCTTCTTGAGAGGTTATAGTGAAGATGAAATGAATTAATGCATGTGAAGCGCCCAGCCCCAGGCCTGCTGCTCTGGTTACCCAGGTGGAGTGTGAAGGCAGCCCACTGGCGCGCGCTGGCCACGAAGGCCCCGTCCTCCACAGACAGGTAGCGCGTGGAGACAGTCTGGGAGCGCAGGCGGTTGAAGAGGGAGACCTTTGAGCCCGAGGATATACACACTGTGAGGGGAGAAGAAATCAGCACCCAGGCTGGCTCCTTGTACTTGCCAGACAATTTCTGGTCCTCTGTCCCCTGGGTCAGTCGCCTTATATGCTCACTGGCCTAGACACACTGGGCCTATTTCATGGTGATTTACCTAGCACCTGCTGTAGTTCTGCTTTTGCACTTTTGCCTGTTCCTTTTTGCTGCTTGGGTACCCTTCGGATCAACAAATTATATTACCAACTATTCACTAAATGACTCCCTTTAGGCAGGAACTGTGCTGGGTACTGGGGACCAAAGAGTGAATTAGACCCAGTTTTGCTCTGAAGGAGTTTGCAGTCTTGGAGAGGAGGGACATAAATATAAATTTTCAAAATGATGTGGTAAGGGCTGGGTGAAGGAGGGCTTCCTGGAGGAGGTTATACTCTCAGCTGGGGAGCAGGAAGTAGGTAGGAGTTGCTTAGGGGGCTGCGTAAACAAAGACCATGCCGTGTGAAACAGCAGTGTGAAATTTCTAGGGCTTGACACTGACCTCTTCCAGTTTATCATACATACTCAGAGCTGTGGTTTTGTTTTCTGACCGAGTTTTGACCACCTGGGGAGCAAGCACTGGGTCATCTCCCTCTGTCCCCTCCGGGTGCTAGGCATACTGTACGTGCTCAGTTTATACTTAGTCCAAGTTCTCATCCACTGGATAATGATGATAGCTAATGTTTGTTGTGTGTTAGGTACGGTTTTAAATGCTTTATATGTCTTAATTAGCTCACCTGATTCTCTCAACAGTGCTCTGGGGTAGGTATTATCTCTATTTAAGAGAGCAACTTGTTCCACATCGCACGGCTAGCAAGTGGCAGAGCCAGGATTCAAACTCAGGCCACCTGGCTCCAGAATCTGTGCTCCTAACCATCACACGATACCACTTACCTGATATCAAGGGCCAGACAGAACACTGCCTGGGTCTGAGACGTTCTATGGTGCTTTTAACAGACAGAAAGTAAATATGATATAGGGGTAGGAGCTGGGCTCTGGAGTCACACTGACTCAAGTTCAAATCCTGACTGGGTCTCTTCCTAGCTGAACAATCTGAGCCAAGTCACCTGGATGGTGATAGACCCAAATATCTCATTAAATGAATGGATGAATGTTCTAGACCACGTTTTCCTCATTCCTGACATAGGAACATTGACAGTACCTACTTCAGAGGGACATGAACATCAAATAGGATGATTCGTGCTAATGTCTGCCGGGAAAGCTCCACCTTCCCCTGTGTCTTTCCCCACCTCCCTGGGAGGGTAGTGGTGGTATCATTGTTATTCAGGCCCTGTCCCCCATCCTCAAAACCCCTAGTCCTGAGATTTGTCCCTTGGCACCCAGGGCAGTACTTATTTCAGACTGTCTCTTGGATAAGCGATGTGTGTCTCTCTCCCCTGCTAGGCTGTGGGTTCCTCCACAACAGACATTCATCCTTATTTTACAGGGATCCTGCATCTCGCATAGAGCCAGGCCTACATCAGGTACTGAATAGGTATTTTTTTGACTAAATGTCCTCTGCCCTTTTATTGTCACTTTTTTTTTTTTATTGTCACTTTGAATCTGTCTTTAGCACAGCACCTGCCAGTCATTTTTGTCTGCTCTGGACGCCCCCTCCCGATCCCTTCCCCAGGGTCTGGTGGGGGTGGGGTGGGGGCCCTTTCCTCTCTACTGGGTCTGGGACCTCGGACCCCGCCCCAGACTCCGCCCCCACTCCCCCAGACCCCGCCCCTCTCTCGGCTCAGACTCCACCTCTCGCACTCCGGCCCCACCCGTCCCATCGAAGCCTCCGCCCTCCCCAGCTCGGCCTGGTGGCCCGGCCCGGCCCCGCCCCGCCCCGCCCCGCCCCGCCCCGCCCGGCTCACGGTCCGTGTTTTTCAGGGACTGCTTCTTCTGCGAGGGCTTCGAGATGACCTTGATGAGGCGGCTGTGGAAGGTGCCCAGCTCCCGGCCCCCTCGATGCACCAGCCGTAGCACCAGCCGGAAGTGCTTCCTCTTGTCTGCGTCCGAGATGTACAGGGTCTTGGCGCACCCGAATTCCTGCGGGGTGAACAGGCACGGGGGTCGTCTCGCTCGCACCCTCCGCCACCAGTTCTCTGACGTCTGCCCCATCAGACGTGACATGAAGCAGCGCGATCCCAGCTCCCGGGCTTACCCTCGAGGCAGAAGCCCGGCCCTCCCGCCTTTCTATCTCTTGGCTTCTGCGGGGATGGTGTGTGCGCGCGCGCGCGCGTGTGTGTGTGTGTGTGTGTGTGTGTGTGTGTAAATGAGCCCTCCTCGCCCGGGGAGGGGCAAGGATGGGAGCAGGAGTCGGACCCTGTCCCGTGCGCTCTCACCCTGGAATCCGGCTGCTCTTCAAAATTCAACTTCTGCGTCTCGGCGGCGCTGCCGGACGCACCGTCCAGTCCCATGTAACCGCAGACCGTGGGCCCGGTTTCCCCTGCCTGGTGGCCTGGAAAGGGACGCGAGCGCGCTCTTGGAGTCAGGTGCCAGGCAAACCGAGTTGTCGCCGCCAGGGGGCGCGGCTAGACCGCGCCTGCGACCCGCCCGGCTCCCGGGCCCCAGTGCGCTGTCGGTCCCCGGGCAACAGGAGGCGCCCGGCAGCCCAGCAGTCCACCCTCACCTTGGCCCTGCACTGGCTTCACCCTCCATCCGGGACCTGCGAGGTAGACACAGGGCGGGGGACAGAAGAATCTGCGGAGACATGCAAGCAAGCGCTGGACTCGCACGTCCATCTCCACTTGACCGGCTGTGGATATCTCAAAGGCAGCATAAATTGGGCAGGATATTTGATTGCTCCCTGCCCAGGCTTCTCCATGACTGTGGACCCCATTAACCTCTAAACGTTCTGTCATTTGCTTCACTCAACCCCTGTAGTCAGTCCTTCTTCTCCACATTCAAAACACATCCAAAACCCACCAGTCTCTTACCACCTCCACGTTAGTCCCAACTGCCATCATTTTTGCCTGGACCACAGCATCAGCCTTCCCAGGCTCCGGATGCTTCCACTCCCCACTCTCTTCCACCTACTTTGCACAAAGCAGTCACACTGTCTTTTCTTTTAAAGCACGCATCAATCACGTTACCTGTTTTCCTAAAATCCTCCAGCGGTTTAAACTGAAAGTCCTCACATGATGGGCCTCTGCTTACCTCTTCAACTTTATTTCCTGCAACATCTCTCTCCTTTCCTAATTCCAGCCCCACTGACTTCTTTGGTACCAGAACAGGCCAAGCCGGTACAGCCTCAAGGTGTGTGTATTTTCTTTTCTTTTTCTTTCTTTCCTTTTTTTTTTTTTAATATTTTATTTATTCATGAGAGACACACAGAGAGGCAGAGACACAGGCAGAGGGAGAAGCAGGCTCCATGCAGGGAGCCTGATGTGGGACTTGATCCCAGGACTCCAGGATCATGCCCTGAGCCAAAGGCAGATGCTCAACTGCTGAGCCACCCAGGTGTCCCTTTTCTTTTCTTTTCTTTTCTTTTCTTTTCTTTTCCTTTCTTTTTTTTTTTTTTTTCTTTTCTTTCTAATTGGAACACACGTCTCCTGGATTTTCTCTTGTCTGGCTTCTCTTTCACATTCAAGTCTCAGATCAACTGTCACCTACTTAAAAGGCCTGTCCATTGTGTTGACCTTTCTAGCTAGAGTGCCTCTACCTCAGTTTCTGCTCCATGACGCTGTTCTATGACTCTACTAGCTCTTCAAGCTGGAAGGCTCCTGCATACTGATTTGTGGGGAGTTTGTTGCCTGTCTCTTCCACACTACAGTGAAGATGCCTTGAGAGCATGTGTCTTCTGGCGCTGTATGTCCAGGGCTCAGCACAACCCAGACAAGCCTGGCACCTGATAAACACCCAGTAAGTAGTTGTTGAATGAAAGAAGGAATGAATGCGTGAATGAGTGAGTGAATGGGGACTGTAGATTCACAGGGAAGTTCCATATAGACCAGAGTGGCGGCTTGGGGCAGGGTCCTAAAAGGCACTGAACCAGGAAGCAAGCAGAGAGCAGAAAGGTGCCCATTTGGAGGGGCCGCTGAGGCACCTACCGCTTCTCATTTCCATATGATTTCTGGGCCACTTTGGCATGCAGGATCCGCACTGTCTGCTCACACTGTTGCCTCAGGCACTGGCGCACACCTTCCCTCAGGACAGGGACGAGCTCTGGAGAGGACCTGGGAATGGGGACAGGCCGACACTGGGCAGCAGTGATTGTTAAGGGGAGAGGTGGCATGGAGCCCAGCAAGCAGGTTGAATGAAAGGAATGGGGGGGAGGGGCTAATTTAGTTCTGCCCCCCTCCAGGTCAGGGAGCAGGAATGTTAGGCAAAAGAGAGGATTTGGGTGTAAGTCGTGGGTTAAATATTTAGGCTGCCTGGTATCAATGAGGACTGCACGGAACCCACTGGGACCACCCAGGCACTACTCCACAGGTCTGGCGCCATGCCCACTGCAGCCGGAAGCACTGGGGAGAGGCCCCAGCGACACAAAAGCCACACTTGTGCTGGCCTTGGGATGGAGATAGCATCCTGTGAGGGTGCTTGGTTCCCTTGCAATTTGAGGGGGCCCACCCCAGTGACATCTTGATGCTGGGGAGAGGAGTTTTGCTGCACCCCCTAAACCAGAGTGCTCTCTTGCCTGCCCTCAGAAGCCTGCAAACATGCAAGTGCCTCCAAACAGTGTCCCTAGGATCCTGGGGGGGAACATTTGAGCCCTTCTGGGGTCAATCAGCCCTCCTAACCCCTTTTCTCCCAAGAGAAGGGACCTGTTACTGTCGTAGCTTTCCTTCCGTTGATTACAGGGCCCCCATAATCAGGGGAGTGGACCAGAGTCTAGGGGCCTCGTAATTTTTGAGGAGCAAGGGTGGTAGGGGGGCCCAAGACTTGAGCAATCGCAGAGATCAGGTGGAGGCGTCCGGGAGGGCAGAGATTTGAGGGACCACCGGGTGGGGCCCGGGGAGCCGTGAACCCTGCGGCGGCCCCTCTGAGCCCTTCACCCTTTGCGCCGGACCAGAGCCCAGGGCCTCTCCTCACTCCTGCAGGGGGCGGCGGAGGGCAGGAGCCCAGCCGCGCCCTCGGAAGCGGGGCCAGGCAGCAGCCGTCGGAGCCAGGCCCCGCTCCGCCCCTTGGGGCTCTCTACCCAGGGAAGAGCCTCGGAGGCTTCGGGCGCATTCCGGCGGAGAGCGGAGCCGCCCAGCCTCCCGCCGGGAGCCGAATTCCGGCCCCGCCGCTCGCGCCGCCGGCTCCCGGGGTGGCAGGAGCAGGGGCGCCGCGCTGGCCCCGCCCCAGCCCTCCGAGGAAAGGGGATCGCTCCCTGCCCGGTGGGAGGGGTCGCAGCCCGCGCCCCCCCGCCCCACTGCGGGCCCCGGGTTAAATGCGGCCGCCGCCTCCGCTCGCTCCAGCCGCCTGGCAGTCCCCGGCTTGGGCACGGTGCCTGCGCCGTTACCTGGTCCAATTGCCGGGGAGGCTCCGCCCGTCGGCTCCGCTCTGCGGCCGCGCCTCCGAGCTGTCGGGCAGGCTCAGGTGAGTCAAAGGGCCTGGGGGCGCTGAGGGGTCTGCGAGGAAGCAGGCGTCAGGGCGATCAGGCGACCGTCTGTAACCGCCACTGAGCCACTAACGGTGCCCCCATCTGACCTGCAGTGCCCTTCTTCCCTGCTGTGGGGTCCTTTCCAAGTTGAGCCCCCACCAACGAGGCCACCACGGGGGGGGGGGCGGGAGGGAGGTGGACTTTCCCCTTAATCTCCTCCCTGGAGGGACCGCCAGGAACATCCCCGCGGTGTTCATTCTTTGGCCAACTCTTGAGGAGTTATTCACAGACCTCTCTTCCCTTTGGAGCCCAGCCTCTCCACCCTTTCCAAATCTTTGTAAATTTAGGATTAACCCCTCAGAGGAGCTCGGTGTTCTAGGGTCAGGCCTGTCACCACGTTGCTGTGCTGTGTGACACTGGGCAAGAGGCTACTCTCTGACCTCGTCTGTACCTCCATAGAATGAGGGGGTTGGGAAGGTGATGGACTTTGAGGCAGTTGCTATTTTGACTTTCTAGGATTCCTGGGGTGGGGGGTGGGGTGCCAGGCCAGAGGTTGGCTCAGGCCAAGAGCAGGATCCGGGTAATTGTAATCAGGATTTGGGGGCCCAGAGGCTTGGGCAGGTGGGAAAGAATGGGAGGTGGCAAAGGCTCCTTGTGTCTTTACCCCCATGTCCCTCCAGAGGTGCTGGCCCTGCCTCTGGCCCATGCTAGGGAAGGCATTCTGCGCCCTCCCGTTTCCAGCAGCAGCTGGCACATCTGGCTTAGGAAACCTCCCTCCCACCACTGGCCCTGCCAGAGGGATTTTTGTTCTACCAGGCCTGAAGGGCGAAGGCGGAGAGGATGGAAAGGCCGCCTGGAGTGAGTGAGCTGCAGGCACCCGACCTTGCTCAGAATAGGCCCATTCACGGAATTGGGGGAGGGGGTAGAGGGGCTGCGGTTGGGTTTGGGCAGCTGATCCCCTCTGCCAGGAAACAAGCAACAGAAAAATGGCTAACGCAGCTTGGGGGGCGGGGGTACGAAGCAGTGGGAGTGAATGTAAGAAAAAGAGGCTTAGTGACTCCTAGGAGCCAGGTTGCTAGGCAGCCAGGCAGCCCAAAAGGAAGAAGCGGAGCCAGGAGTCTCGGGTTCTAGTCGCAAGTTCCTTCGCAGCTGGGCGGGCAACCTTCCCGGACCTCAATTTTCCCATCTGTACACGGGAAGCCTTCGGGATTACCAAGGGGCGTCGCCAAGGGCGGTGGAAGAGTGAGCGCTCACCTGTTGCGCGTACAGGGTCCATGGCCTCACTCACCGCCTTCCGGGCGCATCCAATGCAGCCGTCCCCCGAACGCTGCGCGCCCCTGCTCCTAGGCCCCTGTGCGGGATATATCCTGCCCCGGGCTTATCTCCAAGGCCTCGGGGCTCCCGCCACTGTTTGCTCTGGGCAGGGGCACCTGCTAGGCAGATGTGGGCTTCCCACGGCTACCTAACCAACGCAGCCAGACCCAGGAGGACGCCCTCTGGCGGCTTCTCCTGAGAGCAGGAGGGAAGTGGAGGCGCCAAATTTGGGCGGTGGGTTTTGGCCAAAGTGCTGCGCGTCCTCTGCCCCCCAACCCCGCGAGAGGGCGCGGCTCTCCCCGGCGGCCGGCGGCTGGGCGGTGCAGGTCTGAGTGTGTGCGTACGTGCTGGAAGGACAGCCACACAGAAGCGCCCCGGGTGAGGAGGGGAGGGTCCAGGTGGGGAACGACTGGCTTGCGTCTGCAGAGATTATCCCAGGGGCAGGGCGCGCGAAACGCGCCACTGGTCTTTGGAACCTCTTAAGCATAGGATTGTATCTTGGCCAGCCACTTTCTTGCCAGGCGACTTTGGGTACCACGGCTTACCTTTTCTGAGCCTGTTTCCTCATCTCTACAATGGGAAGAGTGACAGTCTTAGTCTCATAGAATTGCAGAGGATTAAGTATCCCAGTGCATGAAAAGCATTTAACACTGCACTTGGTATTTATAAAGGCTTTCCCCCCCCCTTTTTCATTCATTTTGTTTTTTTCTTTCAGGGGAGCCTTTCTATTCAAATGTCATATTTTTTTTTAAAAAAAACCTATTTTCTATTTATTAACTATTCTGCAAAGTAGAATTCCTTGTATTTCCCAGAATAAGAGTCCTGTAAATACTATTGCTTTGCTATTTTCCTTGCACCCTCCAGGCTCTGACACTTCTGTCCTCTGTCCCCCAAGCGCCATGAGGGGCCTTCTGTGCTCGCCACTGCCCGTGTTGCTGTTTCTCCTCCAGCCCTGGGAAACCCTGTCCCAGTTTGCAGGTGAGCGGGGCTCAGCCCTCACCAATAGGGGAAAGGGAGCAAAAGCTGATTGCCAGTTTGCATCCAGCTAGGTCTGCTGAGGAGAGAAAAAGCAAAGGCTCTGAAATCATGAAGGGGCTGGGTTCTAGTTCACAGTTTCACCTCTCTGTTACTCAATTTCCTTTCCTGTGGGATGTGGCTTAGAGGTAACAACGTTGGGCTCCTGCAAAACTGCCCGCTTGGTGTTTAATTTCTTTTTTTTAATTTTTTTTAATTTTTATTTATTTATGATAGTCACAGAGAGAGAGAGAGAGGCAGAGACACAGGCAGAGGGAGAAGCAGGCTCCATGCACCGGGAGCCTGACGTGGGATTCGATCCCGGGTCTCCAGGATCGCGCCCTGGGCCAAAGGCAGGCGCCAAACCGCTGCGCCACCGAGGGATCCCCTGGTGTTTAATTTTTAACAGTTAATTGAAAAATCAGAGACTTCACATACAAATCCCGATTTGGAACTTCTCTTGAAAAAAATCCAAGGATCTATTAACTTGGGGTCCACATGGCTGCATGGCAACGCTTGGCTGGAGGAAGGATACGCGAGTCCGCCAGCCCAGCCCAAACAGCTCATTCATTTATGTTGCCGGCCTGGTCGCTATAGACAGTCGACTTTACCATAGCCCTTCGCCCACCCCCCACCCCCTCCGGATGGAGAATGCCTCTCCGGGATGGCCCTAAGAGCCGTAGAGTAGAGAATTAGGGAAATCTGGCTCAGGCCCTTAGCGAACGCTGGATGGGCGAATGTATCTAATTCTCATTTGCTAGGTTAATTCCGCGCCAGCCGCTGTTAACGCCAGGATAGCATCATTTCGCCCTGGGTCTCCCTGGGGGTCTCCTCCAAGATGAGGTTTTGCGGACCTCGGGAAGTCCTTCCTTGATCTATCTCCTCGTAGGTCCCAGGTGTCGGACGGGGCCCCTGGATTTGGTGTTCGTGATTGACAGCTCGCGCAGCGTGCGCCCCTTTGAGTTCGAGACCATGCGGCAGTTCCTGGTGGGCCTCCTCCGCGGCCTGGACGTGGGGCCCAATGCCACGCGCGTCGGCGTGATCCAGTACTCGAGTCAAGTGCAGAGCGTCTTCCCGCTCGGCGCCTTCTCCCGCCGAGAGGATATGGAGCGCGCCATCCGCGCGCTGGTGCCGCTAGCTCAGGGCACCATGACCGGGCTGGCGATCCAGTACGCCATGAACGTGGCCTTCAGCGTGGCCGAGGGCGCGCGCCCTCCGGAGGCCCGCGTGCCGCGCATCGCTGTCATCGTGACGGATGGGCGGCCCCAGGACCGCGTGGCTGAGGTGGCGGCGCGGGCGCGCGCCCGCGGCATCGAGATCTACGCCGTGGGGGTGCAGCGCGCCGACGTGGGCTCCCTGCGCGCCATGGCGTCTCCCCCGCTGGACGAGCACGTCTTCCTCGTTGAGTCCTTCAATCTCATCCAGGAGTTTGGCCAGCAGTTCCAGGGGCGGCTGTGTGGTGAGTCAGGGGAGCGCCGGAGCGAGGCGCGCACTCCCCCGCCGCTGGCAGGCCCCTCCCGCCACGTAAACGCCGACCCCACCTCCCCCGAGGCCCCGCCCACTCTAGCGCTAGCCCCGCCCACCGGGTAGTTGGGGGAGCGGCGCCGGGCTGCGGGGTCGACTTCCAGCTCCGCCCACTTTTGCTAGGTTTCGCCCACGAGGAGCAACCTTTAGCGTGCCTGCTCACCCGGATGAGCTGTTGTGGCTTACCACGGGCCTAAGGCCAAACTCGAAAGTGCCCCTCAACACAGAAAGCACCTCCTTTCAAAGCTTCGAGCAATCGCACCCCTCCCGCCGCAGAGTCGTGCCCCGCCCACATGGGCATGGCTCCGCCCACTCTCGTTTTAGTCCCTCCCACAATGCTGAGGGTCTGTGCAAGTCACACCGTGAATTATTTCACCCACCTTGATTTAGTACCTCTTCCCCCCCGCCCCCACCTTACCCCTGTGCAGTCCTGCCCTATCCCATTGACGCGTCTAGCCCGGAGACCCCTTCTGAGCCTATTCATAGGGGCTGCTCAGGCCCTGTTCTTTCCCTAAGCCCCCTTATCTGGGTTGGCCCTCTCAAATGAGTCTTGTCCCATCTAAAGCTGTACTTGAGCTTGGTTGGTGCCTGTCTCTGACCCCACCCAGCTTTTTCTTGTTGGAGGTTTCTGCCCATCTGTCCCTTGCTGATTCTACTGTTGTGTGTTCTCAGGAAAGGACTTGTGTGCTGAGGGGGGACACGGCTGCCAGCACCAATGTGTCAGCACCCCAGGCACGTTCCGCTGTGCCTGCAATCCTGGCTACCAGCTAGCTGAAGATAGCAAGAGCTGTTT